CCTGTTATTCCCAGAGTCATCACAAAAGTTAAAGATTTTAAAATGTACACAAAGTTCCCCAATTTACCTGACATTCAGACCCACATTGACAGAAAGTATGGAGAGGGTTTCTGTACTTAACAAGAATTACTGTTGATTACAAGTAAATAGAATCTCACTACAGATAAAAAAAAATTAGGAGCTATTGGCATATTACTCAAGGGGTTAAAACCCGAATTCCCACTTACATACATATACACAGACAGGAGAAAACACGGGTGTTACGAACAGAGAGAAAACTGGGAATGCAGGTCAGTGGTCTATCTTCACAAGATCTTGCCCTTGAGCTTATCTAACACGTTTGACATTCTTGTTGAGGGAGGATGAGCAAACTGATTATAGCACTGTGGTACAAGGAGCCATTCAAAGGGGTGAGAGAAAAGAGAAATATGGTTGTAATTGGAGATAGCATAGTTAGGTGAATAGACACTGCTCTCTGTGGCCAGGATTGAGAGTCCTGAAGGCTGTATTGCCTGCCTGGTGCCCAGGTTCAGGCGACAGAGGAACTTCGAGTGGGAGGAGAAAGATCTAGTTGTCACGGTCCACATAAGTACCAACGATATAGTAGAAGGAGGAAAAAAGGTCTATGAAAAGCTAGGGTTGGCAGAGTCAACAAGATTAAAAAGATAAATATGTGGCTCAAAGATTGGTGTGAAAGAAGTGGGTTTTAATTCATGGGACATTGGCCCCTGTACTGGGGAAAGAAGCTGTTCCAATAGGCTGGGCTGTACCTGAATCATGCTAGGACCCGAGTCCAGGTGAATTGTATAACTAGGACAATGGATAGCCCTTAAAATTAAATGGGGCACAGCAGCATTTTGTGGAAAACTATAAAATCAAAGATAATGGAATAGGTAGGATTGCAATTTGGTGATGGAGCTGATTGTCACCAGAAAATAAAAAGGGACAGAATATCATATCGGACCATTGAACCATAAAAGTGTGGGGAAATTTGATATTACAACAAACTTAAAGGCTTTGTATCATAATGCATGAAGCATTCAGAATAAGGTCGCTGAACTGTCGGCACAAATCAAGGTAACTGAATATGATCTTATAGCTATTATGGAAACATGATTACGAGGAGATCAAAACTGGGAACTAAGCATTCTGGGATATTTGTCCTTTTGTAGAGACAGATGGAGATGGACTTTTGGAGATGGAAATGGTGGTGGGTAACACTATTAATAAGAGATGAAATGAGGGCAGCTGTGAGATGATCTAGACTCGGATAATGTGGAGTCCATTTGGACAGAGGTAAAACAAGGAAAAGAAGACATTGGTAGTAGTGTACAGATCCCTAAATAGTGGCCACTCTGTGGGAAATGCTATAAGTCAACAAATAATAGGAGCACATAAAAAGAATAGAGCAGCAATTATGTGTGACTTTAATCTTCATGTTGATTGGACTAATCAAATTGGACATGGTAGCTACTACAACGAATTCATAGAATGTATTATAGGGTCCTTTCATAGCCTACCAGACAGCAGGCTATCTTGGATCTGGTAATGGGTGATGGGGCAAATTTAATAAATGACCTCAGAATAAAAGATCCCTTAGGAAGTAGCGATCATAAAATAACAGAATTTAATGTTCAGTTTGAGGATGAGAAACTTGGATCGGAAACAACTCTGTTTAATATTAAAAAAGGGAATTACAATGAAATAAGGATAGAGTTAGCTAAAGTGAAATGCGCAGATAAATTAAAAGGAATGACAGTAGGAAAGTAGTGGCAAACATTTAAGCTGGTACTTCATGACTCTTATAAAAAGCACATCCAGTAAAGAGGTAAGAATCTGAGAGACAGATAAACCAACTATGGCTAACCAAGGAAATTAAGGATAGTTTAAAGTTGAAAGTAAAAGCACATGAGGAGGCTAAAGTCAGTGATAGCCCCAAAGACTGGGATAAATTTAAATTCCTGCAAAGGAGGACTAAAAAGACAGTGAAGACAGAGAAAATAAACTATGAGGGCAAACTAGCGAGGAACATAAAAATTGACAATAAGAGCTTCTTTAAATATATAGAAAGGAGAATTGAGGTCAAAGTGAACATAGGCCACTCAGAAAATGAAACTGGTGAGACAGTTTCAAGGCACAAGGAAATGAGGAGACATTAAACAGATATTTTGCATCAGTTTTATGGTGGAAGATACTTGAAGCATCCCATTATTAAAGAATATGGGGCAGGAATTGAGTACTATCACCACCACTAAAGTAGTAGTATTGGACAAACTAATGGGGCTAAACGCAGGTAAGTTCCCTGACCCTGATTGATGGCTTGCATTCTAGGATCCTAAAAGAGATAGCCATAAAGATACGGATCCATTGGTTGTAATTTTCCCAAATCTCCTTGGATTCTACACAAGTGTCAGAGGATTGTTAAACTGTGAATGTGACACTCCTATTAAAAGAGGAAGGGAGGTAAAAAGCGGGTAACTATAGGCCAATTAGCTTAACATCTATTGTTAGAATTAATTATTAAAGAAGTAATAGCAGAACATTTGGGAAACCATAAACTAATCAGGCTTCATGAAAAGGAAATTGTGTCTCACCAATTTATTAGAGTATTATAAGGAAGTTTCAACCAGAGTGAATAGAAAGGAAACAATAGATGCATTGTATTTGGACTTCCAGATAGCATTTGACAAGGTACCTCACAGAAGATTAAGTCATAAGATGGAGCCCATAATATTGGAATTAACATATTAGCAAATGGGCAGGAAACAGAAACTGGGGATAAGGGGTTCTTTTATGGTTGACAAATGGAATATAATGTAGGAAAAGGTGACGTTGTTCATTTCAGAAGGGAGAACAAAAGAATAGAGTATTATTTAAATGGAGCAAAACTGTAGAAGGCTGCAACACAAAGGGACTTGGGGTGGGGGGCGGTGGTATTTGTGCACAAAATACATAATGATAGCATACAGATGCAGCAGATAATTAGGAAGGCTAATGGAATGTTGGCCCTTAATTCAAGGGAATTGGAGTATGAGTAAGGAAGTTCTATTGCAACTGTACAAGGTGCCGGTGAGACCACATCTGGAGTGCTGACAGTAGTCTTAGTCTCATTATTTAAGGAATGATGTCATTTCATTGGAGGCCTTTCACTAGGTTCTCTAGGATGATCCCAGGTATGGAGGCATTGTCTTATGAGCAAAAGCTAAACAAGTTGGAATTCTACTCCCTGGAGCTTGGAAGAATGCAAGGTGATCTCGTTGAAATATATAGGATTCTTAAGGGGCTTGACAGGGTAAATGCTCAGAGGTTGTTGCCCCTTAAAGGAGTGTCCATGACCAGAGGGCATAGTCTCAGAATGAAGAGGCGCGAATTTAAGATTGAGATGAGGAGGAACAACTTCTGTTGGAGGGTCGATAGTCTTTGGAGCTCCTTGATACAGAAAGATGGGGGGGGGCGGGGGCGAGAATCCTTTTGTATATTTAAGGCTGAGATAGACAGATTCTTGATCAGTCGGGGAATCAAGGGTTATGGGAAAAAAGTGGACATGAGGAAAGTTGGCTCACACATGATCCGACTGAATGGCAGAGAAGGCTTGAAGGACCAAAAGGCCTATTCTTATTCACATTTTTCACGGTCTTAAGATCTCAGGAGATGGTTCTTGACCTGATCAGAATGCTGCTTCTTGGTCTTCCTTCTCTGGACACTTTGACTGGTTTTCATGAAGTAAGGGTAGCTGGTTCACACTTAAAGTCTCTCACCTATTAACTGCAAGTCACGATTTAGAGCAACTGCTGAAGGAAAGATAATGCGGTTTTCTACAGACTTAAAGTGGCTCCGCTGCAAAGAACAGAGTGAGCTCCTGAGCTGAAGGAGATCAGTTGGCTTCTCACTATTTTGTTCATAATCCCAAGCTGTTCAGCTACCAGACAGCCAATCACATAGTTGATTATAGGCATAAGGCCTTTGTCATTATTAATTGGTCACTCACTGACAGACCAATCAACCACTTGCTGTCAGCTGAATCACTGTCTGTACACACACATGGCTCCAGCTCATTTGCAAATGACACTTCAACTATTGCTCGAACAATCAGCGTGTAAATATTGCTTACAATGAGTGTTAGCCTACTTGCTTTTAAAAGTTGCAGTAATCCTTCAGCAAGCTTTGTGGATTGAAAGATTGTTTTTTAAAAACAATCAAAAACACAGACAAATAAAAATACATAGTCCTTACAAGAGTGTGACAGGATGAATATAAATAAGATGCCTCCTCTGGGTGATGAGTCTAAATCCAGGGGACATAATGTCATGAGTAATACATTCAAGACAGAGACGGAAGAATTTCCTCATTCAGAAGTAGTGAATCTTTGGAATTCTCTAACCCAGAGGGCAATGGAAGCTCAATCAATGGCCATGTTCAAGACAGAAATGCATGGATTTCTGGTGGCAAATGGTATCAGCGATATTGAGGTAGTGCATGAAAATGGCATACAGCAGCCATGATCTCATTGGTTAGTGAAGAAGGCTCAAACTTGTTCCTGTTCTTATGTGTCTAACATCTCATTTTTAAAACATTCATTCTTTTTAAATTTTTCCCAGAACTCAATCCTGCCTTGCCTTTGCAATCCTTAGATCTATGTCCCCTTCCAAATTTGGTTGCTTCCACATAAAACTTTCATTAATCTACAGTTGGTAGTTATGCTTTTAGCTGTCTAGGTCAAGCTCTGGCGAGCCCCAACACCTTTCTCTGGCTTAAATGGTAATGCTGAAGGCCAAATTCTTTGACCAAACTGTGTCATCTGTCCAATATATTGTTACATAGGAAGCATTGAGTTTTGTTTGATATGCATTTTTGAGCATTTTACTACATTCAAGCATCATTTATGTGTAAGTTTTTGTTATAGCCCCATATTACCTGGTGATGTCAGTAATTTGATGCAAAGACAACTTATCCCTAATAATTTATATAATTAATGTTCACAGAAGAACTTAGCATTAGTCTTTGTTCACATCAATACTTTATTTTAGTTAAAAATGTATGCCCCTTCTGTTAGGCCTCCAAGCGTGTTAACACACAATTAGTCAGATAATACTACCTGAATAATTGTTGTCCATTCCCCTTACCCACCCCCAACCAAAAAAAATCATATAACCAGTTTCGCAGCTTGCATAGGAAGTGTGAGCAAGCAGGCTCACCTGTGGAGACTTTAAGAATTCATTCAGTTTTTGTTTAGCTTTTCAAATGCTTTAAATCGACTGGAAAGGGGGAGAAAATCAGTAACCAAGACCAATAAAACATAGAATTCTAAAATTAAAAGACAAAATATTTCCCCTTTCCATACTCCCCACAGTCCCCTCTGCTCATGAACAAGTGCTGCCCAGTCCCAACCAGATGGATTTCTCACTCTCCCTTCCCTCTCCTATAAATACATTCAGAGACGCAATAGCTCAAATAGGGAAAGACAAAAAAGGAAATATTTATTAAAGATTCCTAAGAAAAGATTGTGATCTGGAAAAAGAATTGTCAGATCTATTGCTAATAAAGGAATGCACTTCATTGAAAGGTTTGATCAATATAAAATATACAATCTGATCTGGTTGTTGGATTCAACGATCAACCACTCACGCAATAGAAAATGTTCCGCCACAATTGAGTAAACATTTAAAAACAAAGCAATTCTCCTCTTGGAAGTATCCTTAAATTTCTCTGGGTATGTAGATATCAGTATGTACTTATTTACAAATCATACAAATGTTAAAGCTGCATTACACAATGTCAACACAGCAAAAGCAACCATAATATTTAGCAAATGTTTTATTAGATAATTGAATCTTCTATTGCACTCTGTACTTGTAGAACCAGCACAGTCCTTTCGTGAAGTTCCATCCCAGTCCCAGCGACAGCAAGAACAAAAGGATGAGGAGGCCAAATGGATATAGTAGGGCAACTGTGTTCTTCAGAAATGGCAATGCTAAAGGAAGAAAAATGCTAAGTAAGTGCATGGCTTTATAAGTGAGAAAGGAATCGAATGTGCTGGTGGAGTTAAATGCTGAAGGGTAGGAGCCTTGTGTGCAGCACAAACATCAACAAAGAATAGGTGGCTGAAGGGCTTATTTCTAAGCTGCAAAATAAACAGGTAGTTACATGAAATGAAAACCGTCTGAAGGAAAATAAACCCTGTGGATCGTTACATGGACCACTTCCAGTCTACTTCCTGTAATTCAACAACAAATTATTATACATTCAGCTAATAACAGCTGCATACATCATGTAAACTGGGCTTGGTCCAATTCCTCTAATAACTGAAGTTCGCAAACTCAGCTTGGCACCTTCCAAATGGTTTGCTGCAGTGTGGAGAAAACATGTATACCACTAGCTGCAAGTGGACAGGATCATATGGACTAGGCAAGGCATTGGCTAGGGTTGACTTATTTTTGAATAACAGTTCGGCTCGGAACAAAAATCTAAACAAGCAGTATTATGAGACCTCTCCTGGAAAGCACAAGTGAATGTTGAGCAAACGTATGCTTGCTCAGGCTCCCATGCAGTGTGGAACTTTGAATGTACGTCAGTGTCTTAGGACAATATGCTTAAATAACAACTAAGTGAAGGAATTAAGTATGCATAATTTAGCTCCTTTCATTTTGGGTTCATAAAAAAGTTCATAAAAAAGTTCATAAAAAAGTTCATAAAAAAGTTCATAAAACATGATAAAACTTAATATTTACCACTGTATCCAAGAAAAGTAATATAGATGTAATATCCAATGCCAACTAGCCAGAAGATGTTACCAACAAAGTAAGCAAGAAACCCATCTCTGATGATAATATCTGCAAAGCAAACATTCAAGATTAATTAATTACTTAAATATTATCACTACCTTCACAAAAAGTCATAATCTCTGCTGCATTTGCAGCACAAACATCACTATTACAATAACAGCATGAACAAACATTTGAGCAGTGACATACAGCAAGAAACTCGTGAGTATAAGATACAGGGCACCTTGCATTATTTTGTTTAACTTGGTAATGCAGCCAAAACCAGTTATTTTATCAATAGATTCTGGATCAGATTCCCTAAAAGTTAGCTCAGCTGGCTGATTTGCACTGCACAGCAATGCTAACAGAGAGGGTTCAATTCTCACACTGGTTGAGCTTACCAGGAAAATCCCACCTTCTCGAACTTGTCCCTCACTTGAGGTTAAACTCACCACCAGTCGTCTCTCTATTGAGAAAGCAGACCAATGCCCCGCTGGAACTAAGGCGACTTTACCTTCTGACCCTAAAAGACAATGCTGGGCCGCTTCCTCAATTCTGCTATTGAACAATCTTTTCTTCAGCATTAACAGAATTTAGTGTGCAAGTGCAGTGATGATTTAACTAAGCCTCATGGCATTTGAAATAAAAGCTTAACTTTGAAAATGTAAGCCGAGACGGAGCAAGTTCGATAATCAAGATGATTTAGTGAAAATTGAAGCTAACGATTATGATGATTTTCCCTCCCATGACACGATTACTATCAATTACATCACTGTAATGAATAACATATATTGTAAATAAAGAATATAATCAGTGAATGCTTCACAGCTTAAGTTTAGACAAGACCAATAAAGACCAATAGTAGTAATTTATTGCTACACTGTAAATATACAAGAAAGGAGTTTGGATAAGTGTCTGATTTTAAAATTTTCTGTTCTTTTTCCACCATTTGGCTCCATTCCTCCTGGATGACAGATTTCAACAAGCACGCTCTAGCACCATTTCCAAATGACTATTATAGAGCCCAAGTAGTGAGCATCAGCCAAACTTACTGATCTCAGGAACATCACAACTGACTCCAATACTGAACCAATGCAAGTGGTATGCTTCCAGCTGTAATTGCTGGGTAGTTACTAGTTGCAGGACCTCAGTCGAATTTGTGTCGTCATAACCAGCATTATTCAGCCCCCACTATAGCACCTTTGCTGCTGCTAGGGTTGAGATTAACTCTGAAACCTATAAAATACAGTTTCTCACAAGGCACGTTTAAACAAGCCAACAGCAAAGCCTCATGAGCAGTTTCTAAAGAACAATTGTGCAATTAAAGGTTGGGTGACACTAGAAAGTATATACCTCCAGTAACATTGACCGTGCCAGACTTAACTTCAAGCTCATAACAATTCAAAAATATTTTCAGTGCTTTAACTACCTAGAGACAGCATTTAGTTTGGTACAATAATGAAGAATTTTACAATGTTGTAAAAGTCAAGGTTGGTAAACAAGTAAACAGTAGACTTACGATTAATAAAGAATAGTTGAATAAAATGCAAGATCACAAGAAGTGGATAGAAAGCATTCAGGTGAATGTCAAATGCATATCCCCATTCCACATCATAGCCTTTACTTTGAGGCTTCATCAAATATCTGTTGGTAATAAACCTGGAAACAAAATATCACAATGTACTCATGACAGAACAGCTGATTGGACTTCTATCAACATTTTAACATTAAGATGGTCCCAATACTTATACAGTCATAAAGTCATACAGCATGGAAACATGCTTCGATCCAACCAGTCCATGCCGAACATAACTCCAAACTAACTAGTTCCACCTCCCTGCTCCTGGCCCACATCCCTCCAAACCTTTCCTATCCACGCATCTTTTAAATGTTGTAATTATACCTGCATCTACCACTTCCTCAGGAAGCTCATTCCACGCATGAACCACCTTCTGTGTGAAAAATTTGCCTCATGTCTTTTTTTTAAATCTCTCTCCTCTCACCTTAAAAACGTGACCCCTAGTCTTGAAATCCCCCACCCTATGGGAGAGGCAACTACCATTAACTCTATCCATACCCCTCATTATTTTATAAACTTCTATCAGGTCACCTCTCAGCCTCCTATGCTCCAGTGAAAAACAGTCCCAAGCCTATCCTGCCTTTCTTTATAACTCAAACCTTCCATACCTGGTAACATATCCTGGAAACTCTCTTCTGAACCGTCTCGAGCTTGATAATATCCTTCCTACAATAGGGCACAGAACTGGACACAGTACTCCAGAAGAGGCCTCACCAATGTTCTGTGCAACCTCAACATTACCTCCCAACTCGTACACTCATAATTACTGGGCAATGAAGGCAAGCATGCCAAACGCCATTTTAAACCATCCTGTCTATATGTGACGCAAACTTCAAAGAATTACGTACCTGTACCCCGCTAGGTCCTTCTGTTCTACAACACTATCCAAGGCACTACCATTAATGGGATAAGCCCTACCCTTGTTTGTTGTACCAAAATGCAATATCTCACATCCGCCATTTTTCAGCCCATTAACCCATTTGATCAAGATCCCTTTGTAATCTTAGAAAACCTTCTTCACTGTCTACTATGCCACCAATTTTGGTGTTGACTGCAATCTTACTGACGATGCCTTTTATATTCTCATCCAAATCATTTATATAAATGACAAACAAAAGAGAAGCCAGAACCAATCCCTGTGGAACAATGCTGCTCACAGGCCTCCAGTCCGAAAAGAAACCCTCCACCATGTGGTATACTGTATCCGCTGTTCCCGTTGTGGCATCCTCTACATCGGGGAAACCAAGCGAAGGCTTGGGGACCGCTTTGTGGAACACCTACGGTCAGTTCGCAACAAACAACTGCAACTCCCAGTCGCGAACCATTTCAACTCCCCCCTCCCACTCCTTGGACAACATGTCCACTCTGGGCCTCCTGCAGTGCCACAACGATGCCACCTGAAGGTTGCAGGAACAGCATCTCATATTTTGCTTGGGAACCCTGCAGCCCAATGATATCAATGTGGACTTCACAAGCTTTAAAATCTCCCCTCCCCGACCGCATCCCAAAACCAGCCCAGCGCGTACCTGCCTCCCTAACCTGTCCTCCCACCTATCCACTCCTCCCACCTCAAGTCCCACCCCCATCTCCTACCTACTAGCCTCATCCCGCCTCCTTGACCTGTCCATCCTCCCTGGACCGACCTTTCCCCTCCCTAACTCCCCACCTACACTCAACTTTACTGGCTCCAACACTGCCTCCTTGACCTGTCTGTCTCCTCTCCACCTATCTTCTCCTTTATCCACCTTCTATCCGCCTCCCCCTTTCTCCCTATTTATTTCAGAATCCCCTTCCTTTCCCCCATTTCTGAAGAAGGGTCTAGATCTGAAACGTCAGCTTTCCTGCTCCTCTGATGCTGCTTGGTCTGCTGTGTTCATTCAGCTCTACACCTTGTTATCTCAGATTCTCCAGCATCGGCAGTTCCTACTATCTCTCCACCATTACTCTCTCTGTCTCCTGTTGTTAAACCAATTATGTATCCAATTGATAAACTCACCCTGAATCCCATGTAAGCCAACTTTACTAATTAATCTACCATGTGGAACCTTGTCAACGGCTTTACTAAAATCAAAATTAACAATGTCTATTGCTCTGACAACATTAATTTTTTTGGTAACATCTTCAAAAAACAAAATCAAGTTGGTGAGATATGATCTTGAGGGTAAACAAACGATTAGTAAGACTAAGAACAGTTTTACTTGAGGAGCCTTATGAAGAAAGTGATATTGGAGAAAATGAGAGGGGATTGGAAATTTCTTTTCAAGTTTAAGGGGATGACAACCTAAGAATCAACATCAACAGTGGCACAAAGCAGAGGGAAAAGAGGAAGGACAAAGTCTGGAGTCAATGCAGAAGAGTTACAAACTGGGCGCCAGGACCGGCAGAGGTTCCCAGTACACAGAGCCGGCCATATACCGTTGCAGTGGTGTGCGAGTGCGTATGTGCGTGTGTGTGTCTGAGAGGAGTGTTGGGGGAGAAGAGACAGACAGCAGGGAGAGAGAAAGAGAAGACAATACCTGTTTAGTTTTGTTCCGGCAGTGTACAGTTGGAGGCAATTCAAGACAACGAGAAGTGAGAGGTGGAGAGGGTAGGGAAATTTAGAAGGTTGTTGATTTAGGGACTCGAGAATTACAGTAGTATCCCTGTTGTTTTACACCGTGGGCCAAATGGTCTTTTTCCAAACAGTAACAATCTGTGAATTTGATTATCAAGTGATCAAGAGCCAAAGAGGAATAGATTGTTTTCACAGCATATGTTAGACCAATTACACAAGAAAAAACTGCGATGAGGTCCTGCTTTTTCTTTAACTTAACCTATTTTTATAATCAACCTGTTTGAAGATATTATTACACACCTTTGAAGCAGATGGAAGTTGAACCTAGGCCTCCTACTTGAGGGGTAGGGAGAGACCACCACTACTCCACAAGAGGGCCCAAAGTAGTATTTGACATGTAAGACAGTAGCTGCCATCCGTTTGTTAAGTTTCATTGCTCTCTTCTGAAAAGCATATGTTAATAATTTGTTGCATTAGCATCAAATCAGGCTATTGATTGCATGTTTATTCCTGGCCACAAGTTCTTAAATTAATATTGCTCCAAATCTCCTGCACCTGATATGCCTAGTAACCAGGTCAAGTACTAAAATGAAATGTTTTAAAGACTTACCACATTAATGTTGCGATCAGTAATCCAACTCCCACGCAATCAATGAAGACAACCCAAAGTAAAAGCTTCATTGTTTCAAAAAATCCCATTCCTAATACAAATCCAAAACCTATGGTAGAGACTAGAAAGAACAAATAAAAACATTCTTATATTGTATTCTTACAAATTTCCACCACAATGCATTGTTTTACATTAGCTTTTTAACCCAAGAACTAATTTGCAACTCACAACTTAAAATTGCCAAGACGTTTGAACAGAGAATCATGAAAATTATAGCACAGATGGAGACCATTTTGCCCCTCAAATCATTAACACAGTAAAATGCAAATTTGCAGCAATCCTTTGAACTTTTATGGCTCACATTATTAGAGCAATTTATTGGGGGTCAGTTAGCTCGAATGGCTAGTTAGTTGGCTGGTTGTTTTGTGATGCGGAGTAATGCCAATAGTGTGGGTTCAATTCCCACACTGGTTGAGGTTACCATGAAGGTTTCTTCTTCTCAACCTCTCCCCTCATCTCAGGCACAGTGACCCTCAGGTTAAACCTCCACCAGTCTTCTGAGAAAACAGCCCTAAGGTCTGCTAGGACTATGGCAAATTTACCTCTTTACTTTATTGTGTTATAAACATCACAGTTATCCTCACTGCACCATTGTGAAATTGTTAGGGAATTAAAAATTGGAATATTGTGGGGGAACAAGTACAGATGAAGTAAACATTCATCAAAATCTTTCACTTTAAAGTGAAATAGTGTTACTTTTTTTATCTCTAGATCATATTGGTTGGATTTATTTAATTGAAGTAAAGTTATGAACAACATTCAAAGTAATTGTCTACTCCTGCTATGTTCTGTTAATGGATGATCAGAAACATAGAAAGTTTGTTCTGGTTTAGCTTGAAATATCAGGCATGAGGTGAAAATGCACACTGATTGAAAGCAAATTTTGGACTGAACAAAAATATCCTTTCAATCAAAGAACAAAGAACATCAAAATTATCTTCTAGATGGGATAGTGGATGCAGAAACTTTGAAACTAAAAAATGACTGGAGATCTCACTGAAACGTACAAGATTCTATAAGGGATTGACAGGGTAGATATAGATAGGTTCCCCAGCTGAAAATCTAAACCACTAGGGCACAGTCAATAGTTATCTGCAGATAAGGGGATGGTCTGAGATGATGAAGAATTTCTTCACTCAATCGATTGTGAATCTTTGGAATTCTCTACCACAGAGAGATGTGGAAGCACCATCATTGAATATATTCATAGAAGGAATAGATAAACTTTGAATCTTTCAGGGATATGGAGAGTGGGTGGAAAGTGGAGCTAAAGATTGAGCTGAGCCACTCTTCCTCCTGCTCCTGTTTCTTATGTTCTTATGAAATGTTTAACAAATGTTTAGATATAGCAACAGTTTGCTCTAGATTGGCAAAACACACATGCACATACAATTTGGTAATCAGAATTTTCAATACATTTGCAGCTGAATATTCTCAAGTATTTCCAAAGGGGATGAGCATTTTTAATCAAAATGTGCCTCTCATTCTCCAGGAGTGACTATTCAGTAATTAATTCATTTTCTTTGTTGTCGAATAATGGAATTTTCAGTCCTTTAGACTGAACAGTCTATTAAAAATTTACATAATTCTATGACCAGCATAATAATAGCCTAATAACATTAGGGGTCTGATTAAATTGAAGCCATTATTCAAGGCATTAATTCCAAGACGGCAATGTGGAACACCCAGTATTGAACATGTGCTGGACTACCCTCACAGTAGAACACAATGTTCAATATTGGGGCCACGTAAGTGGCATAGTTACAGTCTTCATGTGTTAGTATCAGTGGAGAAATAGTGAGGAGTATGGATTTGAAAAACTCATTACGGCAGCAAGTTCTAAAGGAAACTAACAGAATAAAAGCTTTAAAGGTTAAACGAAAGTAATAGTGAAAATATACTGTTTGAGAAATTGAAAGTAAGGTGGCATAAATTTAGGACTATTTTTGTCTGTAGGGGAAATTAGAACAATTTTCTCACATAGAACCATTGCAGAAGAGGTTACTGAAGTTGAGCCACTGAAAGGGCCTAAAAGGGATTTAAATACACATTTGGAAAATTATAGGAAAAAGTACAGAATAAAAGTTGGTATTGGAACCAGACTGGATGAATAGATCCAATTTACACTGAGGCTTCTAGAATTCCATACTTAGGGTATAGTAGTACAGTGGATGTGTTACTGTACCAGTAATTAAGAGGTTTGGACCAATAGCGCAGAGACACAAGTTCAAATCTACCCTAGGCAGTTAAAGAATTTAAATTTAAATTAAACTGGCTGAGGCCAATTTAAGATAATTGAATGAGTTCTTATTGTGGTTTATTGACATACATTTATATCCAGAGGCTCATTCTCTGCAAACAAAAGAGATATGTTCAAGCCTTTTTTTAAAGAAGCTTGGGGATCCTACAGTTCCCACTGCTTGCTCAATGATATTGGCACAGCTAATCAGATTTTATTTGCAAACTAATCAACACCCTAGTCTCCTGTGGTAAAAATGGTCATGATTGTTTGAAACGTGGCATTCTTGCATTAATGTCCTAATGAGTGCGAGAGGAAAAGTTTCAACGTGTTGCTTTTTTCAGTAATATTCAAGTTTTGTACTACTGTTTACAAAATTCTCAAAATAAACCTAAGAATTGTTTATGTTACTGTCAATCTTAGAATGACATTACTCATGAATAATCATGCAACAGACACTCTACTTCACATCACCATTCATGTCCAATAATAGGGCTTTTTGCAATGGAAATTTTTTAAGGACACTCACCACATAACCAGATACTGAGCAAAACTAGGAAAGCAGGGTCATCTCTGGCCCACTGGTCCTTTGTCTGTTTTCTGTAATGAAAATTTCTGTATACCATCTGTGGGGATGTAAATAGGTACAACATCTGCCACATGGCAAATTCAAAATCCATCTGCTTAAAACGAAAGAGCCGCCTGAGGTATTTGTACCGCTTGGCTCCAGCTGTGTGTCGTGCAGCATCCCGGGAACTTAGTGCACCATTGCCTTGACTGATGGGACTATAGCTCGTCGTCGGTAACATATCTGCTGCACAAAATAGCACAAAATCTTAATCAGAACATTTTTATATTACACTTCCAGTCATCACTTTGCTGCACTATTCCGTTTCCAAACATGTTCACCAATTGCTAATCAACCTTTTGTGGCTTGGCAACGACATGCTTGCCTGAATTATTCCTGTTTGTAAGAAATCTATCATCAAACTGATGAAGTGACTGTAATACCTTGACACTGTATGTTTGCTGAATTTTGCTTTCATCACTTTTAACTTAAGCCAATAAACATCAGTCTGGATTGTGACTATATAGACATGTATTGACAATATGTAATTATGTTAAAGTACCTGTATTAATACAGGAAACATTAAATTTGCAATATTTTGAAGAGCAATTTATTTTTCTACGCAACCTCTCAGTACAAAGCTGCAATTGCACAATGTATTCACTAAACCAACTGAATAGGTTAGTGGGGTCAATCCCACAAATCTGCAGCCAGAAATTTTGTTTAGGGGTGTAGGTCAGAAACATCACAAGACCTCTTTTAATTGCTGATGGTACTCTTTTACTAATTCCTTTTAACATTTTGAAAGGTAGCTATCAAAAGCAAGAGTACCCTATCATAAAGCCTACATTAGAAATTATTACCTGCAACCAAAGTTATAAAAATAATTCAGAATCTATCACCAGAATTTTTGCCAGCAAACTCTCTCCAGCTCAAAACAGACCTTGAGCAAATGAAGCGAGCAACCCCCTGTGGCAAGTGATTGATAAAGGGTTTCAGACATATACTTTCTGAAAGACAGTCACCTCTCAGGTAGACAACCTGAAGCAGAAGAGATAATCCTCAGAACTCATTACAAACCAGTAAAATTGCCTCCATATCCTCATTTGCCTGCATATAACCAAAGCAATTCTTCAAAAGCATGTAACTACATGAAACTTTTGAGCATGCTGACATGATAAGTGCAAGTGTTAGTACATAACCAGAGGAGTTCCCAAAATGAACTGACATTTTTCTGTTGAATAACACAAGTGTATTATTATTTACAATAATTAAACTTTTTTTTATAAAATCTCAAAAGTTTTGAAATTGATAGAATCTCATTTTGCTTTCTTTCTTAAAGGCATAAATTCAAGTTAATTCCTCAGCAAACTAACCCTATTCCGCGCATTTAGTAGACTATAGTAACGGTAACAATGGATCTTGCAACCAAGCCAAACATGATCTTAGACACAGCTTCCAGCAGGTACTACTATTCAGCAACTTGGATGAACATCCTGCCGATTAGTTCTGCATTTCATCATAACAACTAAAATAAATAAAATTAGATGTGGACATCACATAACCAGTAATGTTAATGCAGAAGGATGGCATTCAGCCAATTGTTTCTGCAACAGCTTTCCAAATAAGCAATTCATTTATCAACATTCTCCCACCTTCTCCCTGTAAACTAACACATCCACTGTAGGTGGATTTTCTATATATCAAACACAGATAGAAAGGTAAATGAAGAAATGCTAGAAATGGCTGAAGGAAAAAGGAAGCTAATGTCAAACAGACAAAGATACAATACTTTAGTCAAATCATTAGAGCAGACAGTAGCCAGAAACAGAGATAGTAGGAACGCATCATCCTCCGACACTTCCACCATCTGCAATCCGACCCCACCACCAAAGACATTTTTCCCTCCCCACCCTTATCTGCTTTCCGGAGGGACCACTCTCTCCGTGACTCCCTTGTCCGCTCCACGCTCCCCTCCAGCCCCACCACACCCGGCACTTTTCCCTGCAACCGCAGGAAGTGCTACACCTGCCCCTACACCTCCCCCCTCACCCCCATCCCAGGCCACAAGAAGACTTTCCACATCAAGCAGATGTTCACCTGCACATCTGCCAATGTGGTATACTGTATCCGCCATTCCCGTTGTGGCCTCCTCTACATCGGGGAAACCAAGCGGAGGCTTGGGGACCGCTTTGCAGAACACCTAAGGTCGGTTCGCAATAAACAACTGCACCTCCCAGTCGCGAACCATTTCAACTCCCCCTCCCACTCCTCAGACGACATGTCCATCCTGGGCCTCCTGCAGTGCCACAACGATGCCACCCGATGGTTGCAGGAGCAGCATCTCATATTTCGCTTGGGAACCCTGCAGCCCAATGGTATCAATGTGGATTTCACAAGCTTCAAAATCTCCCCTCCCCCTACCACATCCCAAAAGCAGCCCAGCTTATCCCCGCCTCCCTAACCTGACCTTCCTCCCACCTATCCCCTCCTCCCACCTCAAGCCCCACCCCCATATCCTACCTACTAACCTCATCCCGCCACCTTGACCTGTCCGTCCTCCCTACCTCCCCACCTACACTCACCTTTACTGGCTCCATCCCCGCCTCTTTGACCTGTCTGTCTCCTCTCCAACTATCTTCTCCTCTATCCATTTTCTATCCACCTCTCCTTCTCTCCCTATTTATTTCAGAATCCCCCTCCCCTCCACCATTTCTGAAGAAGGGTCCAAGCCCGAAACGTCAGCCTTCCTGCTCCTCAGCCTGCTGTGTTCATCCAGCTCTACACCTTGTTATCTCTGTAGCCAGAAACAGTTCTGAAGAGGGTCACTGGTAATGAAGCACAACTCTAATTTCTCTCCACTGTTGCTGCCATACCTGCTGAGCTTTTCCAGCAATTTCTGTTTATGTTTCTGATTCCAGCATCTGCAGTTCTTTGGGTTGTTTTTGTTTTAGACAGAGACAGTTACGGAAGAATGAAGATCAACTGAACACATTAGGAGGTATAAATTGAGGAGAAAATGGATGGCAGATATAATTTCATCTTTTGTCTTTTGCGAAATGTGTAAAGAGCAGTCACAGAATAGAATCGAGCTCCTTGGCAGTTAATTCTCTGGAAATATGATATGAATGAAATGAACACAAAGATGAGTCCAAAAACATTTGTGAATTATGTACCACAGTAATGTTCGACAATGGGGTAAGTTAGTCAGACTCCCACATTAAAAACTAAAACAAAGAACTGCGCTGGAAATCAGAAACAAAAACAGAAGGGTCACTGGACTCAACATTAACACAGCTTTCTCTCTACAGATGCCAGGCCTGCTGAGTTTCTCTAATGATTTGTTTCAGAATTTCACATCTTTGTTGCCCATAAGGTGTAGCTCATAATTGGACAGCTTGAAGGAGATCCTTCTGACCAAGTGGTCTCTTGGGATGGATCCTTCTGACCAAAGGAGGCCCAGTGCTGTCCCAGGGAGGGATCCTTCTGACCAAAGGAGGCCCAGTGCTGTCCCAGGGAGGGATCCTTCTGACCAAAGGAGGCCCAGTGCTGTCCCAGGGACGGGTCCTTCTTCCCAAGGGAGGCCCAGTGCTGTCTCAGGGACGGATCCTTCTTATCAAGGGAGGCCCAGTGCTCTCCCTGACAACACTGTCCGAAAACGGCGTCCATCCTCCACACTCATTGCCCCGCTGTTCCCACCCTTGTGATCTTACCTCACGGTATCGCTAATCCAGACCTGACAGTAGTCAAGTTGGAGTTGGCGGGCTGGGGGGGTGGGGGAAGAAGGTGCTACACTCCCCTAAACCTTCAGCCGGATCAGAAAACAAACCCCGACCGTCGCAGGTAACGGCGTCGACGTCGCCCCTGCCGCGGGGCTGCCTGGGCGTTGTAGTCCTTCATCACGCGCATGCGCCACTGCGGGGAAACCCAACGGACGGACTGCGCCCTGGCGCGATGCTGTCTGGGAACTGTAGTCTTCTACCTGGGAGTAGGAGGAGGACCCCATTGAAGAGAGAACTACAAGTCCCAAGATCCCGTGCGGCGTGTGCCCTCTGCACCGTCACGTCGACCTCATCCCAGCAGCCAGTGGGCGGGAAGGTGAAAGGTGGCGGTTAGCGACCGTCGAGGAAAGTTGTATATTGGTGTCTGAATGTAGTGAGAAAGGGGATGCTCTGGTGATTCTATTCTAGAATAATCGGAGGGTTGGTCGCGACACTTCTGGAGGTTTGGGATCTCGGTGGGCGAGTGAGGCCGGCTCGTCTTGTGTTGACTTC